ATGTACTGTATTTTCAGGTACTTCACAAACTCAGATAATCTGAAGCATGCTAAGAGGTGGAGAAAATAGAGACAAAGTAAGTTTGTGATAAAACTACAGTGTCAGAGGCAAAGCCTGTGGAAAAGGCACTATGTAAAAACACAGAGTGCAGCAGCATTAGTATTGCATTTGATGAGATCTTAGAGGAGAATTAGATACAGACAGGGTTTAACAGCACCACTACAGCAGTTCAGGTGCAGACTTACCTTGCAGGGCAAACCATGCCAAGATCAGGCTACTGCAACACTGGAGGAAAAATGAGGTACTATTTCCATCACTGGCTGCCTAATGACTCCAAGTTTCAGTGTGCCCCTTGCACCACTGCACTCTTTAGTGCAACTTCTAACATTCAATTCAATTTTATTTGTATAGCGCTTTTAACAATGGTCATTGTCACAAAGCATTTTAAATATATAAATTCTGGATATAAATTTTAATATAAATTTTACATTTATAAATTTATCCTTAATGAGCAAACCAGAGGCAACAGTGGCAAGGAAAAACTCCCTGAGATGACATGAGGAAGAAACCTTCACAGAACCAGACTCAAAAGGGAACCCTTAATGTTTGGTTAATGTCTTCATCTGGGTGACACTGGATAGTGCAATTATGAATAATTCATCTTCTATAACTGTATACTATATAGTGACAAAGTGCAATTGTACTAACACGAACTTGTGCACCAGAGTCATTTCTAAATTCATTATAGTTTTTAAATTAGTCTATTGTACCAAACTGAAGTTATTAACTGTTCAGTGACAGAGAATTGAGTGCAAACTATTTTTAGCAATTGCAGTCCTAAAGCTATCCAAGGAAGAACATCCACAGCCATCCCTTATGGTTTCTATGTGGTACCATCCACAGTGATCTTATGGCGATCCTTAGGCTATCCATATGGGTCCATCATCATAACATCATTGATGAAAAGTGAAACGTGTCAGTTGACAGGGCTGAACTGCTGATCTTCCTCAAAAACAACCTTCCCTTAATTATTAGTGAATGCCTAACTCCAAGACAGAATTAAAAACTCTATAGCAGCTCCAACAATAGCAGTTTAGGAACTAACGTTCATAAGAGTGGTTTGCAATTCTGTTATTTATTTTCATTCCTGTTATATTATAATGTTCCATCTCCATCGAAGAATATTTTGGTTTTGATTCATTTTTAATGTTCGTGTTAATAAGATATGGATATTAAGTGGAATTGCAGTTTGAATATACACTGAGTATACTAGTTTTACTATAATGCTGCTACACTACAAAGTGCTGTTAAGAGTATATTTAAGCAGAATTGTGCCTGAAATAGTATTCTTTGGAGTGTTCTATCATTTTGGTTAATGTTTGTAAGGCTTATTTATTTATTTATTTAACATGAGTTGAGGTGTCTGGAGACAGTGGTTGAGGCAATGAGATGACCAATGCGTGATTTCCTTATCTGTCCAGGAGATTTGAGGGTCATGTAGGTGCATCCATGGGAATCCAAGAATGACTGGGTGCTTCGACGTGACAGTAACCAGAAAGGAAATGTGCTCCTGGTGTAGGGCACTGACATGGAGGTGGGTTTGATCACAGGGCACATTCAGCATGAACAACTGGTGAGACAGAAAGGAGGATGGACTCACCATTGAGGAGTGGATGTTGGTTTTCTCATTGGGGTGCTGCTTGGCTGGTTCCTTTGCACAAAGAGGACACTGCACCACAAAGCAGTCAGGTTTAACACAGCAGTAGCATAGCTTGTCTCTTCTGTGCTTGTATCTCTGTCCGTTACTCAGCTTCGTATGACTCAGTTTCATGGGTTCGGCAAGGTTCGTCTTGGGCTGTCAAGTCCAGTTGCCTCTGGGTCGTTGCCAGTTACACAGTAGACAAATAGCAAGATCAATCAAGGAGTCTCGGCAGGCCATTTCTGTGAGGACTTCCTTGTTGTGCATGGAAAGCGGCTTTGAGGGCAGGTTTATTCCACCCTCTACCCACAGCAAAGGTGCAGAACACTAGCACATATTCAGCCATTCCTCTCAGTCCTTGTGATATGGCTAGTAGTTGTTCCCTGATTTCTTTACCCTCTGGGAAATGGTCAAAGAAATTGGAACTGTTAGAGAAAACAGTTTGTAATGTTCTCTCTTCAATGCTGTGGTGCCAGACAGAGAATTTCTGTCAATTGTTTGAATTTTGTCAATGACTTGGAGATGAATAAAAAATAAAAGCAAAACATACAAAGGATGCATGAATAAAACACCATCAATATTCTCACATGAAACCTTAAAGAAGTAAGAAGGTAAGAAGAAATTTTCTTCATTAAACCCATTCATCAGAAAACTTAGTATCAAACATTGACTTCAGAACACACCAAAACTCAAGTGAAATCCAGTTCATTCTGTGTATTTACAAAGACCTTGATCAAAATATTCAAATGTCCAAAAATCCAGTTCTCAGAAGCAAAAGAAAGAGAAAATAAAATCAGTTGAATTCAAGGTAAGAGTTCAACATTAGACCTGAGTTCAACAAAAAAAAAATAATTGTTTTAATAATGAGATGAACAGTCAGTCAGAAGCAGCAGCAAACAGCAGCAAGTGTTTAAAGCTTTTCCTCATGACACATGAGCATTTCATTAGTTGTCCAGTCAGGCTTCCTGTGGCTTCTGGCTTCTAGTGGGCATGTGTCAGTATTCCATTTATAGAAATCCATGTCGCGATTTCCGAGAACTCCGACAAACTGTGCACGCCGTTTCCACAACAAACAGCTGCAGAGGAATCATCTCATTCTTTCTTCTTCATGCTATCCTGAAGTATCTCTGTGTATGACAAAGTATAGAAATGAGTGAAGCTCCATTTTTATGTAGATGGTCATCCCTCCCTCCTGGAAAAAGCCGACCGACATGGTGTAAGTTTCTTATTTTCGTTCATAAGTTGAATCTTGAAATCCAAGAAACTTTTCTTCATCACTCTCCTCCTTCAAAATTTCCAGTACCCGACGAAGCTGTTGTTTTTCCATTTCCTTCGCAGAAGGGTAACATGGTTTGGATGTATGCACCACTTAGAAGTCTTACCCTGTTTGCTCCATCACAATTATACAATTGAGAGGACCTAGCTGCTGCACCACGCTATATGGCCCTTGCCACCTAGGAGCAAGTTTAGCTGAGAACGCCTTCTCTGCCTTTGAGCAAGGGTTAGTATACAGCCAGATGTGGTCATTTTCATCATATTGTACATCTCTGCTGTGTTTATCAGAAGTTCTTTTCTGAATAATACCCCGATTTTTACACGTCTTCTGGAACACAGATGAGACAAACTGCAACCCTCAATCTGACAAGAGGTAATTTGGAACCCCCACCTAGTGAGTGTCTCTCTGATGAGCACCTGAGATAGTTATGGCTTTGGCTTTATGCAGTCCAGAGAGTTCCACCCATCAGAATAATAATCTACATATACTAGATATGCATTCCCGGTTAATCTCTTTGGGATAGGCCCCACTGAGTCTATGCCCAACATTTCTGATGGTCGTTGGACTATAGTTTGCTCCAGATTGCCCAGCAGTCATCAACATTCAGGTTTGTAAAGCTGATAAATTTGACCGTTTTTTTTTTTTTAACAAAGTCCTTGATTTTATGACTAAGACTGGGCCAGTAAGCCAAGGCTTGTACTCTCTTGTATGTTTTGATCCTGTCCAGATGGCCAGCTAGAGGGGCTTCATGAAGAAGTTGAAGGAGTTGCTGGCAGAAAGATGCAGGTATGTAGACTTGATAGAAAGTCCTGTGCAAAGACTGCACAACTCTGAAGACATTGTCCCCCTAAAAATGGTGAATTTAGTTGTTGAGTTAACAATAATTTTCCCTGATTCCACTATCTGCTGGTAGTACTGTTGGATTTTGGAATCTGCCTGCTGAGGTTTCCAGATAAGATGGTCGGTGATTGTCAAATTTTCTCTCTTCTCTCATTCACAGGATAACAGAGTGGAGCAGATCAAGGCAGGAGTGTTCAGGTCATTCACTGGAGCTTTGGAAAGGGCATCCGGAACAGTGTTGTACCTTCCCTTCCTGTGTGCTACTGTAGAGGTAAATTCTTGAAGGCAAAAAGCAGAGAGTCTTGAAAACCCATACCAAAGAAGAATGATTGGTAACTACCGTGGAAATCCTCCCTTCCAAGTAGTACCTCCATTTTTCTAATGCCCACACCAAGCTAAGCATTCCTGCTCTGTGGTAGAGTAGTTCTTTTCAACTGGATTTAGTGTGCGGCTGGCAAACTAGAGAGTACAAGAGCTGATTTTCCTTTTTCCTTTTCCAGTTGTTGGCCAGTGTCAAACTAAACCATCCACAGTATTTACGCCATTGCCCCAAAGCTGACTATTCAACTGAGGATTAATATTCTTCAAAATCAGTTTGATAACCTCCTCTTCCTCAATCTTGCAAAGGGCTCAATACATGTATGTAAAATCCTGTATGCTTTCTCCCTCCTGCTGGACATGGGTTTTGACTCTTTCAGCAAGTTCATCCTCATAATCCTCAGACAGAAAAGCAGCAAGAAATTTACGCTCAAACACTTGCCATGTGGGGGTCTCAAAATGTGACATTTCCCACCAATCTCTGGCAGTTCCATGAAGTACATTTCTAACTGTGGTGATCAATTCCTCATCAGAGGGGGGATGAAGAGCCAAGTAAACATGACATTTTTTGAGAAAGAGTATGGGGTCCAGACTATCTTCCATTCATCCAAAACAAAGAAATGGAATTTTAATAAGATTTTTGCCTATATATCTTCCCCTAAGTTCACCAGGGATAGGGGAGAGATCTTCTTGTTCCAAAATTCCAGGTTATATTGTTGAATGAGGACACTGCAAAAGGGCTGACAAAACTGGAGTTTTGGCTGTCAGAGAAGGGTTGACAGTTTGAACAGGGACATTTGCCTTAACTGTACTCTGTGTAGACTTGACATTTTCCAGATCCAAAGCCAGTTGATCCAGATGTTGCAGGCACTGATCAAGCTGAATGGATAAGGCACTGGCCTCCTAAGCCAGGGATCGTGGGTTCGATTACCATCTGGGGTGCCATATTTATGTAACATTCCCTCTTTAATGCCGGTGTGCCAGACAGAGAATGTATGTCAATTGTTTGAATTTTGTCAATGAGTTGGAGTTGAGTCAAAAATAAAAGCAAAACATACAAAGGTTGCAATCTCTCTGTGTATGATAAAGTATAGAAATTTGTGAATTTTTACGTAGATGGTCGTCATAGGTTGTAAGAAGCCAAATGTTCCACTGCTTAGAACCATATCACTGTGGCCCAGGTTAGCACTTTCCCAGTGAGCAAGCTTATAAACTATGCAATTTCTTGTTGTTCAGAAACATTCTCCTGGCTGGAGAAGTAGAGTGAGCATTGTAACAAGAAGCCTTTACACAGAGCAGCTTCTCCCACATATTTGTCTGGTCAGGAGATGAGAAAAAGTCAGGTGATCAACAAACATCAATGGTAGGGCAAAACCTAGGAATCGCAAAACAAGAATTAAGGGGAGGTCAAAACCAGAATAGCAATATACATAAATCAAGGCTTGGCAAGTTCAGGTAAACAAACACTGAGCATTACATCATGAAGTGGAGGAGAAAGTGGTGTCCTTATATACAGAGTGGTGTGATTGTGTTCAGGTATGTGTGATTAGAAGTCTGGTGACTGTGAATTAGATAAAGTCCGTGTGTGATGGGAAGCACACTATTCTCATATAGGATCTACTATCCTGCTGAATTTTGTGGCACTAGGTCAAAAATTGCAACCCATGAAAACAAAAGAAATTTGCGGAGAGGAGAAGAAGAAGAAGAAGAACAGAATGTTGGCTCTTTCAAGCCAAAATAATTACAAACATCATATGGGAGAATACTTACATCATGTAGCAAAGGTATACTGACATTCTGTCCTATAACAACTTGTGAACATTGAGCAAAAATGTGTCAACATTAGGATAAAAAACACTCAGGGAGTGCACAGCCTGGGGACATGAACCATTAACCTCCTGCAGTTGGATGCTTCCATACTTAATAAAGGGCTGCAAGTATGACTTGCTCTGTTGTTCATATTTCTTCTGTCCTTAGCAAACCATTCTATTGTGATGTGTCACTCCCATGACGGGAGCTACATTGTTGAGATTTTTTTTTTGGACTAGTTATTTTGCTTTGGAGAAAAAAAAACATAGAAGTGCTCTTCATAGGCCATTCCTTGTAAGGGTCACCCTAGAAAAGCACAAGGATGGAATTAATGTCAAGTGCTGTCCTCCATCCCAGGGGCTCCATGTAAAGAAAATATTGGGGGTATACTATACAGTCAACTTCAGGATTATTGTCACCCTTCATGAAAGTAAGCAAGAATGAATGTAGAAAGGAATCAGAATCAGAATTGTTTTATTTGTCTCATACATTTACACGTATTAGGAATTTTTCTTAGTTTTTTTTTTTTTGTCACAACACATTCAACACCGTTTGCAACACACACAACACAGACAAAACAACAAAATTACCACCCTAATATACAAATATTGCACCATAATCAGAAATGGTAGACTCAGTTGTAATTTACATTACTGTGGAGGTAGAAATAGCTTTGGATGCGGTTCAAAGTGCATTAAATGAAATGGTACAATTGTGTTATACAGTATATAATAAATAATAGCAGTGATATATAGTAATGACAATGATAATAAATAATAATATATTTAATAAACAGTAATAAACAGTAGTATTTATTAATAATAGTTAAAATAATAATATTATTTGACATGCATAATAATAATAATAATAATAATAATAATAATAATATGCAAGTATCTAATGCAGGAACCAGTAATACAATTATTCATAATAAGATTTAGTGCAAGATTATTACTGACAGGTCAGCATTGTAGTGATCACCGAATGCTGCCTAGGCAGCCTGGTTAATAATTGAACTTGCCAGTTTTGGTTATCAGGGACCAGAATTGCTTCCCTGATGGTAGTTTTTGGAATAGGTAATTAAAAGTGTGGGATGTGTCACTGATGATTTTATCCTGCTTGCTTCTTTGTTCTGGTGATGTACAGGTCTTCAAGTGATGACAGACTACAGCCAGTGATTTTCTCAGTGGTCTTAATAGTGTGTTGAAGCTTCCTCTTTTCTCTGGAGGAGCCTGCACCAAACCAAATAGTGATGACAGATGTAAGTATGCTTTCTATAGTGGCAGTATAGAATTGCACCATTATAGCCTGGAGTGGATGAAACTTTGCCAACTGCCATAAAAAATACATCCCTTGCTGAGCTTTCTTGTTGTTGGTTGTTGTAGACGTAGATGTAGTTGATGAGATCCCATCTGATTGTAGTTCTCAGAAACTGAAATGAAGTGACAGTGCTCACTAATGAATTATTAAGGATCAGTGGGGAGGGGGAAGATGTGCGTTTCCTGAAGTCAATGGGCATCTCTATGGTTTTAAGAGTGTTGAACTCATGGTTGTTCTGGCTACACCAGGAGTCTAGTTGTTGGACCTCCTGGTGGTACTTTAACTCATCACCAATCACAGTAATGTCATCTGCAAATTTGATCAACTTCACAGATGAAACACTAGAAACACAGTCATTTCTGTAGAGCAAATATAAGGGGGTTAAAGGACACAATCTTGTGGTGATCCTGTGCTGAATGACCATGGTTCAGAAATGTTCTGACCCATTCTCATAAATTGCTTCCTGTCAGAAAGGAAGTTTGTGATCCACATACAGACGGAAGCAGGTACATGCAAAGTGATGAGTTTCTCTTGCAGGAGCTCAGGGACAATGGTATTGAAGGCTGAGCAGAAATCTACAAAGAGAATCCTGGCATATGTGTTTGGAGAGTCTAGGTGCTTTAATACAAGGTGACGCCCATATTAACTGCATCATCTACAGATCTGTTGCTTCTGTAGGCAAATTGCATTGGATCCAGAGTACTGGATTTGAGAAATCCCATTGCCAGTCTTTCAAAGGTCTTCATGATTACAGACCTAGCCCTCATCTCTGTTATCATTAAGACCAGTTATCTTTGGGTTTTTTTGGAACTGGAAAGATGACAGATGTCTTGAAGCATGCTGGAACAGTATTCAGCTCCAATAACCAGTTGAATATATCCATAAAGATTGAATATGTCTGCTGATTGGCACAGTGTTTGAGGGTTCCAGGTGCAACAGAATCAGGGCCAGCAGCCTTCTTTACATTTATTTTTTTAACTTGTCTTCTCACCTCTTGCTCTGTGATGATGAATGGGAGAGTGACAGGATTGGGACAGAGGACTGGCTGAGTAGTTGATAGATTGGCACCTGATGGGCCATCTTTCTCTCACACCTGCAGTAGAAGTTATGTAGCTAGTTTGGAAAATGGGGGTCATCAGTACAGGGGGTGGTCTTCTTTTTGTAGTTTATGATGGTCTAAAGACCCTTCCAGACTGAGGAGGAATTGTTAGCAGAAAGTTGTTGATTCAGAGTAATGCTGTTTGGTTGCTCTGATAGCCTTCTCATACTCCTGTCCTGAAAGCCTCTTCTTTTTTCTTGCGCAGCTGTCTGAGCTCTGCATTGAACCAAGGTTTGTTGTTGGAGAAGCAGATGATAGTTTTAGTGGGGATACAGTTTTCCTGACAGAAGCTGATGTAAGATGTGATTGTGTCCATATACTCATCCATACTGTGGGTACTTGATTTAAACATGTCCCAGTCTGTGGCACTGAGGCACTGTTGTAGTTCTTCAATTGCTTCAGTAGTCCATATCTTTATGGCTTTTTTTCCAGACTGTTTTTAGTTTCTGTCTAAATGCAGGTATGTGTTGGATCATAGCATGATCAGACAGTCCAAGAGAGGCATGGGCAATGGCATGGTATGCATTGTTGATGGGACTATAGCAGTGGTCCAAAGTTTTTTGCTCTCTGGTGGCACATTTAATGTGCTGATGGAATGAAGGGAGATCCAGACTTGTTGTTGGTTAAAATCGCCCATTAGAATTACCACAGAGTCTGGATGTGCTTTTTTCAATCTCTGTGACCATGACTGTTAATTATTGTTGTGTCTGTTAAGCACTGGCCAGTATTACCTCCATATTGACAGAGCATATTTTTGAGATGACAGATACATCTTTGCACCAGCCTTAATTAATATAGAAGCACATACCTTCTCCTTTTTTTCTTATTGAAAAGATCAGGGACTCGATCAGCTCTGCATAGTTGAAATCCTGGTAATTCCACTATAGCATCTGGAATTGCATTGTTCAGCCATGTCTCTGTGAAGTAGTAAACTGAAGTCAGTGAATAGTCCTTTTTTATGCTTGCAAGGATCTTCAGTTCATCGATCATGTCATAAATTGAGTGCATGTTAGACAGGAATATAAGTGGGTGTGGAGATCACAGGCCTCGCTTCCTAAATCTGAGCAGTGCTCAAGCATGCTTCCCTCTCTGTCTTTTTCATGCAGCTTGGAGAGCCGTGGGGGTGTATCTCAGGAGTAGTGCTAATAAGTCATTGGATTGAGTTAAAAACTCTGGGCACTCCGGTACAGTTCTCCTGATATTGATAAGCATGTCCCTTGAATATTGAATAATAATGTCTGGTTTTCAAATTACTGGTGCCCCTACAATTAAAGTTGTGTAAAGCCTCCCCTGGAGAGCATAATAGCATTCAGCCTCTTCCTGGAATGTCTAACAAGATACGGAACCAAAAGAAACAAAATTTCCACCACTCATTCATGTAGAATTTTTCAAGATTTTTTATATTCTTAGGTTTGTGTATGTGGATTGCACTCTTCAATTCAGACCACAGGTTTCCAAGAATTGAAATATGGAGACTGAGAAACACTATCAATCATTCTTTTTGTATTCCCCTTTGTGTACTGAGACACTGCAATGGTGAATGGGTTTGTGTACTTCATTGAGGGTTCCTGGACTCCTGAGTGGTGCAACAGAAAAGCTTTTGTTTTACCATCCAGAGATCTCAAGTTTAAATCCTGATGATGCCACAGCTATCCGGGAGTTAAACAGAGCAGAACTGGCCTTGCTCTCTGGGTTGGAAGGGTTTCATACTATC